AAAAAAAAAAAAAAAGATGAACGAGTGGTGGGGTGGTTTGAAGTGAGAGAGTGAATTAAATGTCCATTTGTTTAGGTAAGTAAGATATTTAATTTAAATTAAGGATCTTCTTTGCATTTAATTGTTTGAACTAAGGTAATAACAGTTATAAGTAAAACTAGTACAGATCCCGTGCGATGCACCGGGTGCACAAAATTAAGGTCATTTATCAAGTCTTATAATTATATAAATGAATAAAAAAAATGTACGGGATATATATAGTACGTGACCTGTAATATGCCAAAATGTGAACACGGGTGATGCACGGGGTACACAATTTTAAGGTCATTTATTAGTAAAGAGTCTGTGTGATGCACGGGGTGCACAATTTTTTAGTATGTGTAATACAAATACATACCGTATGCACGGGACAGAAACAATAAATGAGTTATTTCCACAGAGCTTTCCCGTTAAGTAGCTCCTGAATGCGGGTGCACAATTTGTAGTACGTACTATAAAATCAGAACAAATTTCCATACAATTAGATAATAAATTAGATAAGCCTTTTTTATTTAGTAAAGATTTTACGTACTTTTTTTTACTTATCGGATGTTATGAGATTTTTTATTAAACCGATTTGATGGGATATAATACAAATACAATTAGAGGATTGAACAAAATCAGAACAGATTTCTATACAATTAGATAATAAAAAGGAATTAGATAAAGAAAAGAAGAAATTAGATAAAGAATTTTAATCTATCTTTTTTTAGTATAGATAGACTTTACGTACAAATTTTGATTTCACCGATTTTATGAGATTTGTTTTGACAAAGTCAAACACGAACACTGAAAAATGTTTCTATTAACATTTACAATGTGTATTTAATGTTTTTATTTTGTCAAATTATTCTTTTTAAGTGTGATATATAAATATTAAAAATACTTAAAATATTTTATAACATCTATAAAAAGCATCTAAAATATTTTATATTATTCACAAATAATGTTTGAAGTTACCTAAATTTTTCTAAACTACCCGTAAGGAAAATATGTCTAAAAATTCTTCATTTGACCTCCATATATGTATATATATAGAGAGAGCAAATGTGTAAAAAAAATTATACAAATAATATTTAAAAGTATCTAAAATATGAGTAATTAGACAGGTGAAATTTAGATTTTTAAAAAATCTATATAGATAATGGATTTATAGTAGTAATTAGACTTTTATTTATTTACCTTTAAAGTTGTTATGATAGATGAGGGATGTAATTTTTTTGACTCGTGGAGATGGAATTTTATAAGATGGGATATGAAATTTTCTTAAACTCGTCCATATCTATGCGATGAGTTTTTTAAGCTGGTTATATAGATTTAAAATTGTAAAAAAAAAAAAAAAACTTTCATAAATCATTTGATTTGGTATTTTCGGCGAGCTTCATTAATTTAAAAGTGTAAAATAAATAAATAAATAAAGTACAATTAAGAAAGTTACGGCCAGTTGTATGGAGAATTAAACTAAATCCAATTTTGTAGGATGCATTAAAAATTGATTAGATTTTATATGTAAAATAAAATAAAAAATAACTGAAATAGTTTTACGTGTTGCAATATTTCATATTTAAAAATAAAAAAAAAATAAAAAATCTTCTTTTACGTATTACATACCAACATTTTATGAACTACATGGATATTCCTAAATTAATATAGCATACCCAATATTTTAGGAACTAATTCAATGCTAATTTGATTTGCATACCAAAAATATTAGATGCATTAATTAAATGCTTGATAAAAATAACAAATCATTAATTATTGTTGACTATTCTACCTACTTAAATTAGTAAATAGGTTTGCTTATAATATAAGTATAGATTGAAATATTTTTTGTTAAAATTGAAATATTTTTTGTTTGTTTAGGTAATTTTATAAATAAGAACATAAAAGGTATATAAGTGTAATATAAATCACACATGATGGTAAGGGGTGCAAATTCTTTTTTTTTTTTTTTTTTTTTTTTTTTTTTTTTTTTTTTTTTCTAGCGAGGTTTTAATGATATTGATGAATAGAGCATCCAAATTTACAACTTCTTTCTATTCTCTTCTATATGTTATTTGTTTTAGTTCATGCATGGTAATATTCATGTTAAGAAAATTTCTATTCTCTTTGTTTTAGTTCATGCATGCTAATATTCATGTTAAGAAAATTTAAACTGCAAACATAATTGAAAAATCAATATAAAGAGAAATTTATTTACAATTGTGTATAATTGTGTATTTACTATTTTAGATACGAGAGACACAAGAAATAATCTGAGGCAAAGATCATCTCAGTCGGATGATCCAAAAACTCTATTAACCAAGTATATATACACAATATTAGGGCTACACATACTGAAAGATAACTTAAGGCTAGTATACTAAATACACAACTATACACAATAACACAATTCATTATGTATCTAATTCTTGTGACTGCATCAGACATTTCACATCCACCCAAACAAGCAAGTAGCTTAGGTCTTTGCCACCAATGATATGTACACATAATTTACAGAAACAGAAAAAACAGAGACATCCATTGCCAATAAATTAGTAAAAAGGATAACTGCAAACTAGCAATGCTAAAAGCAGGATGAATAAAAAAAATTTGTGACATTGCCTGTGATCCAATTATAAATATTAGATTAAAATGTATAATTGTTTGAGAAATTTTGTCGTTTGTAGAGTGTAGATACTATACCTAAATTTTATTTAAGATTCTATATTCAACAAATAACTGTGGTGCTTATGCTATGATATTTATTCCTACCTCTATGTATGAGCTGTGAAATTGGAGGGATCAATTCCAATGGACATGTAATAAGATTTTTCGGCATTCGCCATTCGGACCTTGAACATATCCCACTCTTTGTGACACCTCTGCCTCACCTGTAATCAGCTACAAAGTTAGTATGCTTGAGTGGGAGAGACAACGATTTACAAATGAATTTACAGAGAACAAATTTTGTCAGGCGAGAACTTTCAATAAATGAAAAAAAAAAA